TCTCCCCGCTCCTGTCTCTGCTCTGTCTCTTTTCTGTCTCTCTGTCTCTCCTGTCTCTGTGTCTCTCCTCTCTTTGTCTCTTCCCCCTTCTGTCTCTCTCTCTCCTCTGTCTCCCTCTCTCTGTCTCTGTGTCTCTCCCCCTCCTGTCTCTGTCTCTTCTCTGTCTCCCTCTGTCTCTCTGTATCTCTCTCTCCCCTCCTGTCTCTGTTCTCTCTGTCTTCTGTCTCTGTCTCTCCTCTCTCTCTGTCTCTCCCCCTCCTGTCTCTGTCTCTTCTCTGTCTCCCTCTCTCTCTTCTCTGTCTCCCTCTCTCTGTCTCTCCTGTCTCTGTGTCTTTCCTCTCTCTTTGTCTCTTCCCCCTCCTGTCTCTGTTTCTCTTCTGTCTCTCTGTCTCCCTCTCTCTGTCTCCTCTCTCTCTGTCTCTCTCTGTGTCTCTCTCTCCCCCCTCCTGTCTCTGTCTCTTCTCTGTCTCTCCCCCCTCCTGTCTCTGTCTCTTCTCTGTCTCCCTCTCTCTCTCTGTCTCTCCCCCTTCTGTCTCTGTCTGTCTCTTTTCTGTGTCCCTGTCTCTCTCTCTGTCTCTGTATCTGTCTCCCTCTCTGTGTCTTTCTGTGTCTCTCCCCCCTCCTGTCTCTGTCTCCCTTTCTCTGTCTCTCTCTTCTCTCTGTCTCTTCCCCCTCCTGTTTCTCTCTCTTCTCTGTCTCCCTTTCTGTCTCTTCTCTCTGTCTGTCTCTCTCTACCACTCTCTCTTCTCTGTCTTCTCTATCTCTGTCTGCCTCTTCTCTGTCTCTCCTCTCTCTCCCCCCTCCCATCTGTCTGTCTCTCTGTCTCTCTCCTCCCTCCTGTATCTCTCTCTTCTCTCTCTCTGTCTCTTCTCTCTCTCTGTCTCTTCTCTGTCTCTCTGTGTCTCTCTCTGTCTTTTCTCTCTCTGTCTCTCTCTGTCTCCCCTCTGTCTCTGTCTCTTTGTCTCTCTCTGTGTCTCTCTCTCCTCTCTCTGTCTCTCTCTTTCTGTCTCTTGTCTCTGTCTTTCTCTCTCTATCTCCTTTCTGTCTGTCTATTTCTCTCCCTTTCTTTCCTGGCTTCCCACCTGTTCCAATCTCCCTGCTGATGAGGTAGCTCCATAGTTTAGATGACCAACAGGCCATGACACCAACCTGAGCCTGCTTCCGGGTTGACTCCAGCCATCCAATGGCTTTTGAAGACCTTTCACCTCAGTCTAAAGACTGATTAATTGAGGTTAATTGTTCTCAGCTGCTACAGGTCTCATCTGAGGAGGGCCTGGTGGTTAAATTGGCAGTGTGAGCAGGTTCACACCTCTCACATCCCAGACACCACAAGTCAGGGATTGATTTCTTGTTTTGATTGTCTGGACTTAAGAAAGTGATGGAAACAAGACTAATAGTGTAGATTAAACTTAAAAGTGTGCCTTGCCTACACTTCCCCTCAGAGAGCCAGTTGTTAACCCCTTACCAGCCCACCTGGGGAAGGCAATTCCATGAACTCATCACCTGCTCCTTTATACTTGGAGGGACCACTCTAGACACCAGAGGGAAGCCCAGCCCTTACACATAGCGACAGCAGCTCCATGTCATGGCTCTCCTTTGTTATAATGAACAGTGGGGGGGGGGGGGGGCGAATATATTGAGAAATAATGGTTTTGTCAAAAAGTTACAAGAAAAACATTTTTAAGAAAAGAATAATGAGGTGAATTCCTTACCTGGTGGGCTCCTAACACTCTGCATCTTCACGTTCTGAGACCCCAAGAATTCTGACCTGACCAATGAGAAAAGCTTTCATTGAGAGCTGAATCCTGTCATTGTGGACCCTACCCATAAGAGCCGGCCACAGTTCTTTGCCAGAGCCCAGAGGTGGAGTAGTTACATGAAAACCAATATTAGCCATCCCACTCCACAGCCAGTCAGCACAGATGGGGCAAGGTTAGGTTGGAACATGGTGAAAATGCCCCCCAGAACCCAACACACTGACCATCATGTCTGAGAGAGGAGAGACCCAGGGAAAGGAAGCAGCCCCTCAAAGCATGTGCTTTCCAGCACCATCCCCCCATGCTCCTGACAGCTGTCAGCAATGTCAGGAGGGTCCCAGAAAAGTTCAAGGGGACAGAGAATACATGTGATGTCACCCCTAAGGTAAGGGGGCAGGGAAACAGTGCATCTCTCCTTAGTCAGACTCAGTTTTCCTATCTGAGGGCCAGGGTCCAACCTGAGGTTCCATCTGCTTAAAGGATACTGAGTCTGTCCTGAGAGTTTCCCCACCGGAAGAATGAAAGCTTTGTCCATCCTGAGATAAACCATGTTCCTCAGACAGAGATTTCCCTCGGGATGCCTCTGCATTCTCATCCACCCCACGGGCGGTCATCATCCCTGTGCAGACAACTTCTCTGTCTCTATACCCAGCCTTCTTCTCTCCAGAGGCATTCATTAAACCCCTGGTATGTGTCCAACACTACATAAGGCATGGAGGCGGGCTTACAAAAACAAAAATGAAAACAGGTCCTCCCTTCCAAGAGCTTGTATTCTGGTGTGGAGAAGAGGCAGACAGGTAAGTAAAATCAATCAATTAACAAGCGTTTATTACACGTGGACTGTTTGCTAGGCATTGTGCCGGGTGCTGCAGGGGTGAAGACAAGAAGGAAACAGGAACTGCCTCCCGGTCTCTCCACCTCCTCAATCTTCCATGCCCTTGATCTCCACTCCATTTCCACTATACACACACTCCAGCCTCCTCCTGGCTGTTCCTCAAATCTTACGCTCCATCTCCAGACTCCGGGCATTCTCTCTGGCGGTGCCTCACACCTGGGATACTCCCCCTCCTCGTCCCCACCTCCTGCATTCCCTGGCTGCCTTCAAATTCCTGCTAAAATCCCCAATCACATCATCATTCTCAAGGGCTCGCCCTCTATGACACAGACCCTAGAAATGCCTTCCTTCAGCCCCAAGCTCTCCCTGTGCCTTACTCTTCCTAACCCTGTTCTTCATCCTCACCTTGATGTCAGGACGGCCCCAGGCGACTCCCCCTGCTCTAGCCCCGTTTTCTACCCTCAGTGAATCAGGCCAACTCTGCCTTCTCCTCTATAGCCTTGGTCCTATTACCAAATCCCAACCCTGGCCTGCCTCCTTTGCTTCTCTCTCTCCTTTGCTGCTGAAGGGGGCTAGAGAAGTTCCAGCACCTCTTCTTTCCCCATTTTACTCCCTCCCATTGCCCTCAGAGCTGAGACCCTCCAGTCATACTTTCGTGAAAAAAAACATTTAGAGGCAGTGAGATAGAGAGATGGGCTAGTAGTCAGGAAGACCTGAGTTCAAATCTAGCCTCGGGCATTTACTAGTTGTCTAACCCTGGTAAGTCACTTAATTTGTCTGCCTGATTTCCTCATCTATAAAATGGACATAATAGCACCTTCTGTAGGTGCTTAATAAATGCTCGTTTCTTTCCTTTCTATCTCCTCCTTCCTTCACTCCAAGCCAAAACTCTCTACATTTACCTTTGACTCTCTCCCCTCCCATCTCCTCAGCAGTGACTCCTTCCCTACTGCCCATGATCATTCCATGTCTCCCCCTCACCTGGTCCCACCTAGACCTGTCCTCCCTCTCACCGCTAGCCTCCTTACGAAGGGTGTCCTGTAAGCCTGGGCAAGGTGAGCGGCAGACTCCTCGGCTGATGGCCTCTAAGGTCCCTTTCAGTTCTGAATCTAGAATTGTGTGGGGATGGTTGCCCAAGTGATTTTTCCAGAGTATGTGTCTAACTGCATCACTTACTCAGTCAGCAACCACTTATTAAGCATTGCACTAAAGAAAGGGTCACAAAACAACCTGTACATGTACAAGTGTAAAGGAATCATAGGGAGTTGGGGGGAGCATTAGCTGCTGGCATTGGAACTAAGCATTGTAGGTAGGCGACAGCCAAGACAAAGGCTAGGAGACCAGTAAGGAAAGGTGGGGTAGGGGTGGCAGTGGGGACAGTTAGGTCATAAAGGGCTTCAAATGCCAAACAGAGGATTTTGTTTTTGACCCTGGAGGTGATAGGGAGCCACTGGGGTTTACCTACGTGACGGGACTTATAATTTTGGAAAATCATTTTAGTGGCTGATTGGAGGATGGACTGGCAGATGAGATGAGGAAGGTAGCCCCCATCCCCAATCAGGCTATTGCAATAGTCCAGGAGAGAGGTAATGAGGGCCTGCACTAGGATGGGGGCAGTGTCAGAGAAGAAAACAGGGCATGTAGGAGAGACATTATAAAGGGAGAAACCACAAAATTTGGCCATGGATTCATTCCTGCACTGATGAAGAAGCCCCAGAGACTCCCCAACTTCCAGGATGAATTTGGCATTGAAGGCTCTCCACGACTGAACATTTCATACAAGGCTTTCTCCCACTTCCTCAAATGCCCTCCCTCCTCATCTCATTCTCCTAGTTTTGAGTCTCTGACTCAAACCTCCAACTCCACAATCACATTGTACTGACTTTGCATATAATTCTGGAAATGAATTTGTATCCTCTAGCCCTGTCCTCCCAAAGTAAGCCACATGAGGGCAGGGATTTTGCCAGCTGGATGATATCCCATAGGGATCCCAAACTCAACATGTCCAAAACTGAACTAAACCCAAAGCCCTCCCCCCTCCTCCCTTCCCTATTACTGTAGAAGGTACCATCATCTAGGACTCCTCACTCTCTCTCACCACTCCCCCCATCTCCAAGCTGTTGCCAAAGCCTATCAATTTCACCTGGGCACCATCTCTGGTCAATTTCACCTGGGCACCATCTCTGGTCAATTTCACCTGGGCACCCTCTCTGGTCAATTTCACCTC